GAGGAGCAGGCAGCGATTTAAAAAATATATATATTTTTTTTTTTACCTGACCTTGCTATTTTCAGCGGGATTTTCATTAAAAAAACGCCTGTTGCTCTGTGCGCTCTTTCCACTGACAGGATTTTCCCTAATTAGGGCGTTTGTTTGCTGCATAAACATTAAAAAAACCCTGAAATGGAGGTTGGTTGGGGTTGCTTTTTTTTTTCTTTGAAGTATTGTTATTTTTATCGTGTGTTGTTATGTAGATGAGAATAATTGCATTCCTGATGGATGCTCGCATGCCTCCTGCTGCGAAGGGAGGCAAAAGTTCAGCAGCCAGGTAGGGACCGCTGCCGTGGGCAGGGTTTTATTGCCGAGATTAGGGGTGAGATGAGGTATAAAAGAAAAAAAAAAAAAGAAAAAAAAAAAAGGCGGCTCCAGACAGCTCTGGGACTTGAGGGCTCCGGGCTGAGTCGCCAGCTCTTAAAATCCTGGCTTTAAAACAGCCAGACTTGGGCAATCTCATTGTGTTAAAGAGGAACCAGATGCTGGGAGAGAAATAACATAAACCAGATCTCTTGAAGGAGAGTAAATCGCCTCTGATTCTTAAAATGGGGGGTTTTTGTAGGGTATAAGAGGCACAATTGGGTACGTGGAGTTAAATTTTGGGTCTGGGCTTGAGTAATGACTCCAAAGCCAACACCGTTGTCAGTGCCAGGTACTGAGTCGCTATCAAGAGCCACTGAAGTTATCAGCAAAGTGTGAGGCCAGGTTTCCCCCTTGGTCGCATTGAATTTGAGAAGGGCGAGGGCTGTAACCTCCATGCGGAGGTGTCAAACCAGAGGCTGGTTGTTCAGTTTGAGTGTGGATGGGCTGAGATTCGGCAAGCGCCTTGCACGTGAATCTGAAAATAAGATATTCCAGCGGTGATGATTTCTGGCAGGAATTACTTGGCTTAATAGCAAAAGTGTTGTCATGCGTTGTTTTTAGGTTTGTCACTGTGTTTGTCTGGGACTGGCACCTAGGACATTGCACTCTAGTAAGCGATCCTTGTAAAAACCACTAATTATTACCTAGCACAGGGGGAAAGGTTGTAGGTGTGCGTGCTGCTCGAGGAAAACGCTCGTTGCTCAAATATAGAGCCTGGTTTTATTTCAAGCACCAAAGTGCAATCTAGCCACAATATGGAGTTAACCTGCACTTAAAAGCAGTTGTAAAGAAATTCCACTTGCATGAAGTCTTGCACAGATTTAGCTTTTGTGTGTACATTTGTGATATATTTATATTATGAAGAGTTCCCTGGAAAAGAAAAAAATCCTGAATGGAAGCAGAAACGCTGTTGAGTTTTCTGCCCGTGCTGTAATGCTTAACACTACTACCTTGTTACAGAAACTGTACAGACTTCCTTCTAATCTGGGCTTCTGTAAGTAATACGGCGTGGAGACAGCCTAATCATTGTTTGCAAGTACAGAACTAAAAAAAAAAAATCCTACAACGGAGCCAAAGTTATCCATAGCATGAGCCGCCTCGAGTCTCAGCTTACACCGCGGCCGAGTCTGGCTGTAAGGGGAGTACATGACCTCAAGCTGAAATGCAGATCTCAGAGAAGGTGAAGTTTCTAAGGCGAGGGATTATTTTTTTTCCCTGCTTTGGATCAAACGATAGAGTTGGAAGGAGAAGAAGAAACAGATGCAGTTTTTTGGCAGTTGAGCTGTTCATGTCTGAGAGCGCTCACAGGAGAGCGAGTGGGATTTGCTTCCCTTTAAGAGAGGGGAAATGGCCTTTTGCTACGCTGAATTTATAGCATACAGAAGTTTTTCTGTTGGCTGAACACCCCAGGGGAGCACATTGCATGTACAGAAAACGCTCTGGTCCTGCCGATCTGAGCAGAATTCCTCCCTCTGCAGAGCAGAGCTCGGCTCCTCAGGAGCATCGCTTCTCTCTTTGTATGTCTCAGTACATATTTACTGTTCTGAAAAGCAATGATTTATAATCCCAAGGACCCCCTTTGTAGCGCCTGTCCCAAACCAGAGGGGCAGGGA